ATATTTCTTAATTTTTATTTGAAACATCTTTTATAGTTAATAACAATTAATGATGACAGGTTCACAGTGTTCAATTAACATGAATTAGACATACAATATATTTTTACTATTAAATAGAATTTTTTATTAAACTATTCTATTTTATAAACTATTTCTATTTTTTATTTATACTACCGTCTTTATTATCGTATTAGTGTGTTTGTTTTATTATTATCGCATTAATATTGTTATGTATAATAATGATTTCTTTCAATTAAAAATTACGATAAATTTATTCCTACTTTCTTTATTGTTAACATTATTATTATTATTATTATTATTGCATTATACATATATTATGTCAATCAAACATGTCGGTGTGTATGTGAATAAGTTGTGCTGCATTGTGGCTGATTCTAACAATGTAATCAATTATTGAGTGCACAATATTGCGTCACTTAGTACAATATACGTGTACATTTGGTGGTTTATAATCAGTATGCCATCGTTAATTAGTGTATTAAGTCCATTTTAGAATATTCGTAATACATACGACAGAATTTAATTCATAATTTCACGTGACATTTAATGGAAAACATTTGCAGTGCCATAATTACATTATTTATTATCTTTTTCTTCTTTTTTAAAAAAGAATCTCATGTGAGGTACCATTATGTCAATGTTAATTACAATAAACGTTTGGGTTTCGGGATGCAACCCTTTTCAAATATCAAATGAATATGTAGAGTATGTTATATGATACGTTAAATGCGACTAATCTCAAATCATAATAATCACGTCCCTATATTGCATACTCGATGTAACAGCAACACAACATACCATAAAATATGTAATTTAATTGGCTGTTGCAGAAATACGTCGTGGTACGTGCAATAATATGAATCCAGCGTCGAGTTAAAAATATTAGCGAAATAAAGGTGTGGCATATTAAAAAAAAAAAAAAACTGTAACGGTTAGGTCTGTAATAATTAATACGCCGATGTTCTCTCTAATTATAAATTATAGATTAATTACAGAACCATAAATTAATATGTAATTTTGTGATTATAAATTATACAGATTATGAATATGTAAATCTATAATTACGAATTACAGATTATTGAAGAAACAATAATTTATAAAACGATTTAAATAAATCACATGCGACATGAATGTTTAGTTCTTAAATAAAGAAATCAGATCTCCATTATAAATGTATAAATGAAGATTCTAAAGATAAGATGTTCTAATTCTGCAAAGATTACAGAGATGTATTTCTCATCGAGTGTATCTTGTATTCTGCATTGATAATATTTTATATCACATTCCCGATTCCTTGAATCTTGCCGTTATTATTCTAAGATTTAAGCTTTCCCATTCTCTTTCATGAATGATATCGTTCCTTTGCACAAGTTGTTCTTTCTCTATCTCTCTTTGTTTCTTCCCTCTTTCTTCAACTTCCATCTTCTTCATTCTCACTCCTTGTGCAGTTCACTTCTAGGGTAAACATTTGCACAACTTTCACCTCGCTTCACATTCGCTCGCGTCTTGCCATGAGTAGTTCAAAGTAAACGCGTGTAATTGTTTACTTGCACCCTGACCAAGAATTTAAGGTCTTCCGCGCTCGTTAATTTGCCTAATTAGCGCTAATTATCCAAACGCATGCGTGCGGAAAGTTGCGAGTGGGAGCGATTTTGCACGTATGAGTTTATTTTAGGATAGTAGCAAAACAATGTGAAATCACGTAATTATGTAAAATTATCTCGGTATTGTAAACAATCTGTAAAATAACTGTTTCAATCAATAATTCATGTGGGATTTATTTGATCTTTTGGTTCGATTGAAATTCTTAGTAACCGAGTTATGTAGTACTATTATCAACTATTGTTATTAGTTATTTTCGATAAGCTTTGACTACAGTATTGTATAAGCTTGTTATGGTAACAGTTTATCGATATGAAATGGCGTTGAACCACAAAGCGCAAGACAAAATCAAATATATCGTGAATTTGATGTAATCGAAAACCTCAATTCGATTTAATTGGACTAAACCAAAATGCAACTTCATTTTCTATTATACTTGAATGTGCTAAACGGAAACTTGAAAATTTTCTTAAAAAGGATTTCTAAAAATGCAAACGCTAGCACTTTGATTATTCATTGAACTTTTTAATACCGTTAAGTGACTCAAATCTTCGCAATATAATATTTATAAATTACCTTTTTCATTAATCGCCAAATTTTTGGAGACCATGTCGATACTCTATTTTATCATCTACGGCACACCTTTTCTACGGATGTGTAAAGAGCTGAGAAAGTTGAAACCACTTGGAAATCCGCAAGAGACGAAATTATCGGAACGTCCAAACTTCGACAGTAGGATAAAATTATACGACAGCTTTTGTAGCTTTTGTTTCGTTTCTTACATAAATTATGAATAATCCTCTAAGTTTCTCGTTCCCAGAACTTATGCGAGAAGCGCGAGTTGATTTTAATATATTAATGATAGCTATAATCAGCTTGTGATAATAACAACTTTAAATGCTCCATAATAAAGATATATATATAAAGTAAATATCCAATAAGATTAAAGAAAGATAATTCAATTAATAATAATTCTATATTTTGCTTAATATAAATTTGTAGACTTTTATGTAACAGAAAGAGAGAGAGAAAGAGTATAATTTGGTAATAAATCATATACAGTTATCAGATAATAAATTAAAGAAGAATAATAGTTATGGAAGATTGAGAAGTTTTCTTTTAAAAGAACGCTGTATATCATATATTTGTATTTTTGAATAAATGAAAGAAAAATTCGATGTATGAGCAAAATAAATCATTTTTATCAATTTTATTTTATTATTATTAATTACGAAGAAAACAAGAAAAAGTTACATAGCATAGCCGGTTGCTAAAACCAAAATAAAATAAGAGTAAGCTTTAATTAACGAATATTCCCGAAAAACTGTTTTTTATTATTAATTTAATAAAATGCATATTACGATAAATATTTGCATAAAATGAAATTCTATTGTAGGGAAATTTTTAAAAGAAAGTAAAAAAAACAATAAATTACTATGAAGTTTTTAAATCAATATGATTTTATACTTGAAGAAGATATATTCTCTGACTATTTGCGTAAGAAATACGTAAGAACAATTAACGTTTCAAATAGTGGGCATACCTTAGGATTGGCTCACGCCATAAATAACGGCCGACGTGGTAGCTAAATTCTAGTCCAGCCCAACTAGAACGTAATTAGAAATCCGCCGCGAGAATCATTGCCAAGTGCCAAGCTGATTGGGATTATTGCACGTTACAAATTTAAATAATCCTAATTTCTCTTCGATAACGAAGCAACGATATTATTTATGATTTTTTTCACTCGTTAACGATTAATTACGATTAATGAATTTAATTCCAAATTATCACACGACATATATTCAAATCTTCTAACGTCGCTAATCCGAAAAGATGTATTTAACATCTTATATTTATGACATTTTACGATCAGAATAATCAGATGATTAAGTTCATCTTGGTAAAGCTTGGCTAGGCATTTTAGGAACGTCCTGTATAGATTTAATCGGGGCCGGCGTTACCGAGCTCACTTCCGCGTCGTAAAATCGGAGGCGAAACGACGATTCTTCGTCGATTAAATCCACCGACGCGTCGATTACTAATTTTGACGTGCAAGCCAATATCTGCCCCAACCTCTGGGCCATCTCGCCATATAACTGTCGATATTTATGGAGAACAACTCTTTAATATATACATATACATCGGCGTCGTGCCGGTGTCAATCGCCGTCCCGATGCACCTCTACGAAATCGATAATCGTTTCTAGTTTATCGGTGATGCAAGCTTTTTGATGATCTCCCAATAAACTTTTCTATCGCAGGCAATCAAAGTTACAAATTGGATTCGTGCGACGAGCGACACGGCGAAAGATATGCGTGATGTGTTGTGAAAATAACACGGATTATATTGAAGACACCATCGAAAAATTCATTCGACCGTGATTCATACGATCCGTGATAATTATTCCGTCAATTATTATTGTCGATAATGTCAATGTAATCTCTTAAGTAATATAGTGAATTACGCGCGGTATCTTTGCCTGTGGCTTTAATCATCAGTTTCCTTTAAATTAAATTCGACGCGGTTATATTCATCTTAAGCATCGCGATAAGATGACATATGGTGTGTTTGTGCCATTTAAGCCATTAATAGATTAGATCGGGTATGGATATTAAATGCTGAAAAAGATTATATGATATACTTTAATACAAAATCAATACTGACACGTTCGTCTTAAATTTGTTATTTAACGAATAATTGATACGTATCTAAAACAAAATAAAAACAAACGATAGCAAATATGTATAGATAGTAATGACGACGATGATTATTTTACAATATACGTGGATGCCTACATATCTTTCTAGCGTCAAAGGGACATTCGCGAATCGCTAATTGGCGCGTCGTGGATTAATTAACGCCTCGCAATCCCATTGTGCAACAGTTCGTTTTTTACTTTCGCGAAATAACGCGTAAAACTAACGAGATCGTTAGTGGCAACTGGCATTTTAGCTGAATTAATCGATTTCATGATTAATTGAATTAATCCATCATTTCTCTTTTTTTTCATTTTTTTAACCTTTTTCTTAAAAATAATATAATGTGAAAAATAAATAGCATTAAATTGATTAAACAAATATTAAATGCTTCCAAATAAGATTTATATTGCGTTTTAATTTATTTTTATATCCTATTTTAAATATTTCTAAGTTTAATTTTTATCTTCTTTTAATCATAAAAGATTTTTTTTATTAAAAGTCGTTTTTTTTGTTTTAAGTAAAATTTCTTTAAATGTACGTTTATTGTGAATTAAAAATATTTCAATATTTTATCTGGATTTTGTAAAAATTTATTTCAAAGCTTTCTTTTTCTATTCCACTACCATTTAAAATAGCAAGAGAACTGGTATTTGAACTGTCTTGCCTTTCTGTTTTCAGGCGATGAAGATGAGCAAAGTGGGCAACCAGACCAATTCACAGGACCCACAGGCAGTGAATTCACGCGTTTTCGTCGGGAATCTGAATACATTTCAATGCAGTAAGACCGATGTGGAACGAATGTTTCAACGCTATGGCCGTCTGGCCGGTAAGTTTATTGTAAAAATTGTAATTGGTAAAAACGAAACTATTAGAATAAAATCATAGCTTAAAAATAATCTGCTAAAAGCTCTGCATAAAGGTCTTTATAAAATATATATTCATTCTCTCTCTCTCTCTC